TTAAGGAGGGGGAGTGATAGAGTGGCTTTGGTGGGGACCTGGCATTTTGGCCAGGGTCAACCCACCACACATGTATTTTAATCTCTTTCACAATATTAATTTAGACTGTCATGTTTTAATCTCTCTTGTTACTCTCCGGCTCCTTTCTAATTAGAAAACTGTCCACCTCTTTCCAAAATTAACAATGAGTTAATTAATTATTAGGCATTTTCACCATGTTTCAGTAGAAATAATTTTCTCCTTTAACGCATTTCTTTTCTTTGTAAGGGCAATGATGATTTATACATCTGACAGGATAGGCATTTTATGCAGAGCTTTTCAATGGCTCTAATGAGAAAGATTTTTCTTTTCACTTTCTACTAACAAGGAAAAATCACCTGGACTGTGCTGGTTTACAAACATTTCACATTTAAGTTGCATTGAGCAAGAACAAACATCTGACATACAAAAGCGTTATGAGCTGTGGTGCATTTTGGAAACTCATAAGGAAATTCAGAAACTAAAATACTTTATAAATAAAATATTAAGATAAATGTTAGAAAGAATGATGAAGGGTAAGTAAGAATGGTGCTCAGAGAGAAACCAAGTGAAGAACTGCAGGATATCTGTGTCAGTCCAAGTGTAGAAAATGCCTTGAATTCCCCATTAGCTTAGTAAACAGAGCATGTCGCTAGGACAACAGATTGACTGAATGTCAGCTGGAAAATTATTCCCATAGTGAGTGATTTTGTGACCAGCAAGGAAGGACAGAGAAGTCTGCAGGAAAACAATCCTAAGCAGAAAAGGTGAGGAAAAGAAAATTGTGAGTCCAGACAAAGATCTATATGGTTTCAGAACCAGAGGAAGTACCAGTGCATTTGAGCCCATTAAAGCACTTAAGTGGAAATTTTATTTTACTAGTTCTTCCTCTTACAAGCTGGATAGTATTCCTTAAAACAAAGCCTCTCTCAGTGGCTTAATTCCATGTTCTCACCTAGGATACATAGCAAATCTGCTTAGCATTTATCTAATGCTAAAAGCATACTTACTCCCAATCAGCAAAGTGCAACCTTCAAGCACCAGATTCAGAGCAGTGGCATTTTATTTTGCATCTCATGTATTATATTGTTGGAAGGTCACGTTATTCTCTTGATAGCATTCTACTTCACATAAAACTCCAAAGTTAAACTGAGACATTAACGTTCTCCAGAAATCAAGATCTTTAGCAAACATTTCCACAACAGGAACGTTACGGCCAATTGCAAGAGGAATATACTTATTATACTACAGGTAGGATAAATAGTGCTCTTTGTATAGGGTTTTAAAAGATTCAAAAATCTTATTTTATCTTCTCCTTTCCCTTACAAAGAAGTGTGTAAGGCCTAGAGTAAAAAATTATTGGTCTTGGTCTTTGCCCACCGAGGGTGAGCCTCGATGAATTCTCAGTGAAAACCGTGAATACTGCAAATGCAGATGTGTTGTAAGTCAAGCCTTCACTGCTTACAAATTTCCTCATAATGAGCTTCTCCTAGCTGACATGATGTCTATAGGGCAGAACACTAACAGAACAGTAGCTTTTATTTTACATATCTTCCCACAAATTGTATCAGGTGAAACGTATTTAATTTTACCATCTGCAACCAAATCAACCAATTTGATCTAAAACTTGCCCGAGTTAGGGAAAAAGCTTTAATCAGGCTTTGGCTCACTTTCTAAATGTGGTTGAGATGTTTTACAGCTACTTCCAGAAACCAAACCTTCACTATAAATCAGTACAGCATATTACCTGCTCTGCTTCATACGTGCATATGTGCTTCCTTGACTATTCTGCCTTATTGCAAAAGGTAACGGCACATTTTCTTCTCTGAGCCTTTTCAGAAATAAGCTAAAAGCATAAAAACATCTTCGAACTTATTTTATTCTCTTCCTATCATTAACTAATGGAACAAATATATTATAATACTGAAAATACACTCTGAAATTGTGATTTTAATATACTTTATTGAAAAAGTACACAGTTTTAAATTGTTTTCAATGGGACAAAGCAATGGTCACCTCTATCTACCAAGTCCTTTTGTGATGAATCATGACTACCATACGCCAAATTCATATCTGCATGACTTGCAAAGTAAAAAGATAAATCTTTTTTCAACATATCTTAAGAATTTATATCACCAACAGTTTAAAATCATGAAATGCTGATGCTCTGACTATATTTCATTTCCTCTATGTTGTACCATTTCCCAGATCACAGTTTATCCATGTATTAGCATGCCAATTGAACACATTTGTCAATGTCACCTTGAGAAAATCATCAATAGCAGAGAAAGAAGAACAAAAGGAGGTTTAGCAGCAAGGCTTGAGACACCACCACATTCTCTTGCATTTTCCTAAAAAAAAGGAAAATATATACAAGCCATTACACTCAATTACGATACACTATTATTTACCAAATTACACAGGCAGAAGAGGATCAATGCAAACAAAAAACCCAACATGAACTAAAAACACTCAGGAAGTAATGCAGGAACACATTTTAATTTGAACAAGTTTAGATTGTAGACTGAAAGTGAGCATGATCGACAAGCATTACACAATCCCTTCCATGTCCTATTTTACGTCTCATTCTACATCGGATTACACTGTCAAAGGCATGTTACTCCGCAGTAAAACGGATGTCTATGAACATGTGCATACAAGCCACTGTAATCACATCTCAGTCTCTATTGGATCTCCTTGGCGCTGTACAAATAAGAGTACTACACAGAACACAGAGTAGTACATATGTGCAGTGATCCCTCTCAAGCAATACTATGTGTAAACATAATGACTGTAGCATGACAGTTGAGATACTTAAGCCGGTTACTGAAAAAAATATTAACAGCAGAAAGTTCCCAACTATCTTTAATGAGGAATCTTGTGGTCAGTGCTCGAGCCAGAGTAAGTTCTCAGATATTCCTGCCTGCCAGTCTGTGTCACATCCTACCATGTTCTCTTATATGATAAAAAACAGTCTACAAAAGCAGTAAGTCAAGACTTTGCCTACAGAAGTACTGAAAAGCTTGGTAGCACTTATAATGTCACTCATTTCCCTACTACTGTGTTCTGAGTGTTCAAAATACTTCCTGATGTTTCATCTTAGAAGGTAGTTTTCCCATTTATTTTTTTAAAGAAATAAAACCAGAGTCTAAGAGAAAGAAAAAGTAGGTAGAAGCTTACTTCAGGGTGAAATCCATGACAAGATTCTGGCCGTCTTCTTATCTTCTGAGATTTTAAACGTTCACATTTAAGGGATTCATTATGTACAAGGCAGTTAAGGAGAGATATGAGCATTGCATTTTAATGTCCTGAGTTTATGTGAGTATTTTGAAATTAATATAGTGAGAACCTTTCAGCTCCTTCCTTCTTCTCCATCAGAAACCCAAGGTGATATGTGTGGCCAACACAAGAAAAAGAAGGTAATTCTAGCACTTTCTCCTCAATGATCCATAGTTTAGACAGTATATTTTGCACTTATGCTGCTAACCTGTCTTTCCATAAGTCTGTCATAAAAGCTTACTGCAGGCTACTTTTGGTAAATTACAACTTTTGTGAGAAAACAAATCCTGAACTACAGAACAGCACAAAATAAAAAGTGGGGCAACTAAAAATCAAGTGATCAACTAAAAATCAAATTTATTTTGTTACATTCTTATATTTTTGGAAAGCAGGATTCTGAAACATTTCAATACTCCAGATCAACCATAAAATAAAAAGATATCTGTATTGTAGGGAGTTTTATAAGTTCCAATGCCAGCAGTTCCATTCTCATCAGGAACTTACATACTTAGGGCCTAATTTGAAAGATATTCAGGTATCTAAAAATGAATATGACCTTATGATACTTGAAGATATACATAAGTGTGTTTGCTTAATTTATATTGGCTGTTAAAAAAAAAAAAAGTGAAGTCTTCTAGAAAATAAGTAAGAATGCATTCTCAGTTGGCTTAATTTCAAACTACCCCAGTACTTTATAATGGATAACAATGCATTCTTAAGGCATGTAATGCAACTTTTACATATGAAATTTTCAATATCGGTATCTTGAATCTCTTTCTGTCAACTTTGCAAATAAAAGGATATACCTTATTTCTATAGGTGCCATGGTAATCGGTGGGACAGAATCACAGAAGCATTCATTATCTACTACTACCATGAAGAGATTGCTGCTTGGGATTTGCTGGATAACAAAAGACCTGAAAATTAGAAAGAAATCAAATAATGTTGATGTTACCTGTATTTCTCAGCAACAGATTTTGTTAGGGTTTTTTGAACTTGTCAACACCACTTGTATTATAGTCACAAATATCATTGACTTTATATATCATACGATATCTCCACACTTTGTAGAAGTAGAGAGCCTTGGGCAATGCTTACCTCAGTTCACAAAATATGGTTGTCCATCTTGAGATGTATGTGAAACTGAAAGTTATACAGAACAGCTAGTCGTATACTGCCAATATGTTAATGTGGGGACTGAGGCACAAGTGAATTACCAAAGGGTTTATCAGATTTTTCGTTTTCAGATTTCAATACTGAATCTCTGCTTTATTATGAATACCTAGCTATGTATTTATGATTTGGAATTTTTAAGTACATGTGAAACCAATCTGCAAAAATAACAAAGGTTCTTCTGCAGACACATAATGATAATTCAGGGTTCCAAACTTTAGCCTCTGCAATTACGTTAGGGCCTTTATTCACTGTGGGTCTTGCTTGAAGCAACATGAACTACTGAGAAAGTTCTCAGCTTTCAACTGTCCTCTTGAGAGTCGTTTTGTTACTGAGCCAACAAAACAGAGATTAAGCCTCAAAATCTTCCTAAGCGAGGAGATTTATTTTAGAATAATGATGAGTATATGGTACAAATATGGTGATAACTCAGCACCACATTCAAATTAAGACAAAGTAGGCAACTCAAAAGAAGAGTGAGAAATAAAGACATTGCTTGTAAGAAGGAAAGCACCCAGGGGAGACCAGAGAAGGATCCTATGGGCACTATTCAATGATCCACATAGTTACAATGAGCCGAACTCTTAAGCACATACCACAGAGAAAAGGGGGAGGAGGTGGAGGCAGAGCTAAATAGGCACTGTTTAGCTTTTTCTTTGAAATTCAGGACACAATACAAAGAAAGCCTTTAAGACTCAGACCCAATTCTTGATAAATTTTTAAAACAATGTCAGAATTTATATATTGTATCAACAGAATATCTGCCATATCAAATATAATTGCAAACTGGCAATTCCAGGAATTAGGTATTTTTCAGTACGGTGTGGTGGTAAAATGTACAGAATATTAAGTGAGTGTATGAGCACCAAAATTATGTGGAGAGAAACATATCTTTCCTCAGACATCTTTATTTAAAATACATATTGTCTTACTAAAATAACTCTGATTTTTCCAAAGAGCATGAAGATGAAATAGCAGAGGGGGCAGTGAATATTTAAACCTAGCTTTAGAAAAAAAAAAAAAGGAAAACTTACTATAAAAATGTTGCCAACGGAAAGATTAAACACTTTTCAGTATTTCTTAAACTTACTGAACCTCCATTAAAATTATACTCAGAGTGATCTGCAATATGTTGGCTTTATGTTTATACATGAAATATACATTTATGGCATAATGTAAAAGGCTGAGCTTTATAAATGTACCTACCAAGCAGCTGGAGCAGACTGACATCATTGTAATGGAGCATCTGTGGCTTTGTGTGTGGGAGAAATGGGGCCAATAAAAGGAAAGGAGGGAAAATCTTTAACAGACGATAACACCAAAATTGTACTGCATGAATTTCCCAAAAGAGTTATGAATAAATTAAACCCTAAAGGACAGGAAAAAATTACTAATTTTATTCCCAGAAATTGTCACAATTCAGATTTTGTACAGTCTGAAACTTACATTTATTGTACCTTTAAAACTAGCTCAGAAAAGGACGTGAAGGGCATAAAGTGTTGTAACAATTAACTGGATACTAAATGACTTGTTTCTCTTTTTAATGAGAAGGGAGTAATCACTTTTCTGTTGTACCTATGGTATGCCTGACTCCAAGTCCTTTGGTGATAGCCCCTTTTTGTGACCCCCAGGTGAATTCTGAAGCCTGTGAGAAAGCATGTACCATATAGCCAGGCTTAAAGGTGTGATTTAATGAAAGGTGGGCACATTTCCCATTTCATTTCTTCTTTCGTCCACTTCTCTGGGGTGGCATAAGGGTGTTACAGTGTAGGCTGTTGCTTCCCCAAAGAAGAGAGGTGAAAAAAGAAGTAAAAAAAAAATTGGAACCTTTTCCTACAATTTCATCTAGCTAGAAGGAAAAAAGAAAGCATTTTAACCCAGAAGAAAGTTTCCACTACAAAACTATGATGCTGAGTAAATTCCTATATGGCTTCTATGACAAAATAGAGAAAAACTGTAAAAGTTTGTAGGAATTAAGTGATACGGAAAATTTTGCTAGACCTGGTAACCTAGGGAACGCAATATATGTATGGGTTGATGGAAATTATGAATTAAAGGAACTGCAAAGAGCAATATATTAGGTTAAGTCAGAAAAACTTTTTCACTTTAGGAATTGTATGATAGATACTGATTAATTACACTAGTTCAGTTTACCAAACAGCAAATAGTCTTATAAATCTACAGCATGTTTATCGAATACAGATGTTTGTGAAGTGTCTAACCTCATGGTGACTGCCTCAGAACATGTGACTGTCATCTAAAGAGCCTAAAAAGATGAAACCTTAGGCTTGCTGCAGCATTTTTTTCCACAGTGCATAAAAATATCTTGCAAAGTGGAAGAACTAGCTGTCATCCACCATACTAGAGGTAAATTCAAAAGAAAATGCTATCTTCCACAAGCAGTAAATGAATGTTTTCCCTTTCACTATTCTCAAACAATCTTGAAATGATTGAAATGTAAAGCCAAGTGCGTGTCCTCATGAGTCATTGACTTGTGATGTCACAGGCGAAGGATTAACAGATGAACAAGTGAAGAGAGAGGATTGAAGACAGAAATTGAGTCGAGTAAATAATTAAGGGCAAAAAAAATTATGTCAAATTTAGCTTTCTTTTCTATTAATAGAATGTGCACAAGCAAATTACACTTCTTTCAGCTGCTGTAATTTAAGATCATTTTGCAGCCATAAGTTATTCACTAGATCGATGGCAAAGAAGTTTCTGCATCATAACCACTGCAGTTGCTCTGTGACTATTGAAATAATTCACATGGCACTGCTTCCATGCCCAAACTGGATAAGCACACAATAACCCCAGCAGCAGGTCTTCTGTTTGAATTCAGCTTCCCGTTTCCATGGTGACATGCGCATGCATCTTTGAAATTCATTCTCAGTGAATGCTCGTGCCAGTAAGTCTCAGGAACTGAACATTCACAGAAAACAAAAGGTGCATAAACACAGTCGGAACAAAGTCTTTCAAATACTGAAATATTCTGCCACAATGTTTCATTGCATATGCCAAAATTCCGTTGCAAGGGAGAAAAACCTCCAGCAAAACAGCTTCCATGACGTCTGTGGGAAATAAAGTTGCTGACAAAATAGCAAAAATGGTCTTGTCTTTTCAGTGAGCTCCACTGTGATTCTCTAAAGTTTATATTACAATAAATATTTCTGAACACCTGCTGGCTTAGGCTGTCATTTCTGTCATTGGCAATATGGGAGCTAACTCTCAGGGACAGCGTAAGGGTTTTTATTGAACTTTATTGCTGGTTCAACAATCAAAAGAAACTCTATGTTTAATAGCCTATGTTTAATATTTATGGAGAACATTTGATGTTTAAAGGGTAAGGCTCTTTTTGTGTTAAGTAAAGTAGATCTTTTGATTTGAACCTTTTTCCTTTACATGAGTATCATCACCATATTCGACAGTGACAGCACAGAAAAAGCCTTGCATATGTCTCCGTATACAAAATGGAATAAACCATTGGTGTTCCTGTTATGTTGAAGCCACATTGAGTCTATATAAACTTTATTAATAATTTATCCTTCATCTTTCATCCACTGAGGAACCAGTTTGGTTTATTTTATGTGCAGGTTCAGAGGCTTAAAACAGACCTGAACACAAACTGCTTCTTCACTTTGTAGGTAAGGTGAGGAAGGAAGAAAATACTTGAAAGGAGAGAGAGAAAGAGGAAGAAAATCTAGTCATGCAAAACTATTTTGTTAACAAAGAAAAAATAAGAATAGAGAGTAAATCTGCAAGAAAGTCTCTATTTTGAGTCAGAGCATTACAGAATGCTTTTCTCATATTGCACATGTTTCATTTATCTGTTTCATTCTAACATTTTTCTGTATCGGCCCATATAAACATCTACACAAATATCACATAAATTGGTTTGGAAAAAAAACCCCAAACTTCAATTTTACTTGGAAATAGTAAATATTTGCTCAAAAATGCAAGCATTTATTAATCTGTTCCTTGAAACTGAATTTTCCATTGTGGAATGAAACAGGAAAAGACTTGGAATTCAAGTACTCTGCATTCTCAATTATATCTGTTAAAGTCGTGCTTATGAAGGCATGATAAGAAAGCATGCTTCTAATGTGTGTCTGGTGGCTAAATGACTCTTCCCACAGAGAAACAGTTCCTTCTAATTTCTTAAGATAGCCTAGAATTGGGAAGCATCATAATAGGACTGTAATACAAATCTTGGAGGGCAGTCACACCAGATGCCTTTATGCATGTAACTCAGGCTCCTACAGTAGAAGGGTAATCATCTCCAACTCTGAACAGAGTACATGTAGAGACACAGACTATTCAAGGATAATTGAGAGCAGGAGCTTGGCTTTGGTGATCTGAGCCATCCTCTGCAGGAGGGTCTTTCTGTCTTTAATGGCTGAATAGTAATTCTGCAGAGAAACGCATCTGGAATGGGGTGAAATGTGATGCCTAAAGCTAAATGCAGACTACAACACCTGTGCAAAAAGAGCCAGCACACTACATTCAAAGCTCTTTTATTTTTTCCAGTTTGAATTTCTCCCTTTTGCTTGTATATATGATAGTATTCATACAGTTACAATATATATTATATTGTTATTATAATAATTTCTTGTATAGACTATGTTTAACAAAAAACCCACCAACCAATCTAAATTCAAAGATGTCAGCTCTATTTCTTATTATAAATATTACTTCCTCCTGTAAGGAGGAATAACTAGAAGATATACTCGGGGCAGTAGAGGAGTAG